TGGATTGGGGCCCTCCAATCTTCTACCCCCTCGATCTCTGCTACCTCGACTTCGGCCGCGATCCTCTCCATGTGAAGTAGGGTCACACTCCTACTCTTACAATCGACCAAGTTCTGTGCGATCTTAGACAGCAAATCAGCCCGACCATTCTCCCCTCGAGGTATTTGTATTAATTCGAATGTCCTAAATTCTTCCTTCAACTTTTTTATATTGTCCACATGACGTTGCAACCGATCTTCCTTGATCTCGAAACCTTCTTGGAATTGACCGACCACTAGCTGGGAGTCAGAATGGACCTGGATTTTTCGAGCACCTCCGGCCAGAGCCAATTGTAATCCCTTTGTCACCGCTTCATATTCTGCCTCGTTGTTTGATACTCGAAACCCCATCTTGACGGCAAACTCCAAATAATCTCTTTTGGGCGAAATCAAGACTATTCCCAAGCCAGCCCCGCTCCTCGATACCGAACCGTCCGCGAACAACTGCCACATTCCTCCGCCATCTTCCTCCTCCTTCGTACCTTCCTGTATGAAATCGGCCAACACCTGCGCATTGATCGCCCTTCTTGGTTCATATATTATAGAGTACTCGCTCAGCTTGACCGCCCACTTTACTAGTCGGCCAGACACTGCTGGTCGACCTAAAGTCTGCTCCAACGGCATGTTTGTGCGCACCTTGACTTTGTGGTTCAGGAAGTATGGCCTCAGCTTTCGGACTGTCACGACCACCGCCAGTGCACATTTCTCAATTTCCGAGTACCTCAACTCTGCTCCTTGCATTACTCGACTGACATAATATATTGGGAATTGTGCCACTCCTTCTTCTCGCAATAATACTGAGCTTACAACACTCTCGCCCACCGATATGTAGAGCACAAGCTCCTCTCCATGAATTGGCTTGGCCAATAAAGGCAAGTTAGCCAGCGTCCTCTGCAGCTCCTCGAAGGCCTTTTGGGCTTCCTCTGTCCACTGAAATTTTGAGCTCTTCTTCAGGGTTTTGAACAAAGGACTGCTCTTTTCGGCCACCTTGGAAATGAATCGGCTCAGTCCTGCTATTCGACCAGTTAATATTTGGACTTCCTTCACACTGGCCGGTGGCTTCATCTCGACCACAGCTCTTACTTTTTCGGGATTCACCTCTATCCCCCGTTTTGTTACCATGTATCCCAAGAACTTCCCTGCCTTCACGCCAAATGAGCACTTAGCCGGGTTAAGCTTCATGCCATATTTTCTCAGTGTTTGGAAAGTCTCCCTTAAGTCGCCCACGTGGTCCGCCTCCATCTTACTCTTTACCAGCATGTCATCTACGTACACCTCCATATTCCTCCCCAACTGATCCTTGAAAATCTGGTCGACCAATCGCTGATAGGTGGCCCCAGCATTCTTTAATCCAAACGGCATGACCACATAACAATAGGTGCCTTTGCTTGTTATGAAGCTCACTCTTTTCCAATCTTCTTTCGCTAGAGGGATCTGATGATATCCCTGTGAGGCGTCCATCAAGCTCAGCAATTCGCATCCCGCCGTGGAGTCTACCAGCTGATCGATCCTTGGTAGCAGGTATAGATCTTTTGGGCAAGCCTTATTGAGGTCACGGAAATCAATGCACATTCTCCATTTTCCTCCCGCTTTGGACACCATTACAGTGTTAGATAACCACTCGGGGAATT